ATTTGCTTTTTTATTTTATTTTATTTTTTTTTTTTTATATCAGATCACAGCCTATCAGGTTTTTACAATATACCAAATAATTTAAAGAGAAACTGATTTGAGATGCTAACCGAATAGTCGAACAATTCAAATAGAGTTTGCAGTTTTCATTGGGTTGAAATATATATGAAATGCATTGGTATTGATGTGTCAGCAAGGATATTATATATTCGGCCACTGAAAGATAATTAATCACTTTTGTTGTTAATTTTTGTTGTCAGTTTTGTCTTTTTATCGACATTATTAACGGGCAGTCAGCTCGTCACGCACCGAACCATGGCGAGAAGCTGTGGAGCATTTAAAAACCGCGAATATGGATGGCTGGTAATTTTTTTTTATTTAATTTTATTTTTACTTTTAAGTTGTTTATATTTTGTTTATACGCTTGTTTTTTAATATATTTCATTTAGTATTTTTCTGCTCATTTACTGTTAGTTGAATCAAGTTTGGCGCTGTGCGTGAAATTGAATTAAATATGAAATTAATTAACTTTAATGTTACTGTTATTGTCGTATAATTTCAAATTGTTGTTTGCTTCGCTGCAATTGTCAAATGGCAAAGAGTTGGCACGCTTAAAGCTGGCCAAATGTGTAGCTGCTGACCCTGAACTTGGGCTGGAAGCCCCCGCAACTCTTCGAGTGTGCCACGTGCACACAAAGCGGGCCAAAAGTAATTACAACAGATGCAAAAAGCTTTTGGGCGTGGCCATGACAAGTGGCAGCGGGCGATGGGCAACTGGAGACTCGAACAGAGGCAGAGGCAGAGGCAGAGGCAGAGGATGAGGCTGAGGCTGAGACTGGTTCCATTGAATGAGTCTGACAGGCCCTTTGTAATTGGCATTGGGCGCGTCCGTTAGCATAATAACACGAGTCCAACTCCATGTAGCTGTGTTCAGGCGACGCGTCGGCCATTTGGCTTGGAGTCAAGTGCTTGCTTTTGGGCCATCGTCTGTCCGCCCGAATCGAGTGCAATATGGCTGCTACGACTCGATGGCCGGGGCAGGCAGACGGCCCGCCCAGCTGGAATATGGCAACTACTTGAAAAAGGTTAAAATGCCGCGCCGAGCAGACAAAACGGCTGCATCTGAATAGGGCGCAGAGTGTGGGTGAGGGCATGGAAACCTCCAAACTTTTGGCCAAGTCGTAAAGTTTTCATACGCCTAGCTGCTTAAGCAGCGCCAACTTTTTGGGCCCCTTCCAAGGAGCTCAACTTCCACTTGGACTTCTCTGTTTGGTGTTACGCACAAAAAAAAAAAAAAAAAAAACGCAAAATTCTCTTCTCGCTTGCTAAGAAATATGTGAACTATTCAAAAGCGAACAATTGATGCACTGACTACAGTTGATGTAAATTTTAATTACTGGTTACTAGTTTAATTAGAGGAAGAGAGAGAGAGAGAGAGAGAGACCCTGTGTAGGATCAAAATATATTTTCTGACTATAATTTAAAATAGTTGATAGGACTTTTACTATTAGGCAGGGCAAAGTGAAAATGAATTAATTAAAATCTTCAAATTAAATAAACTCTTCAAACTCTTCTCCAGCGATGTTTGTCTGTTTTCAGACCTCAAGAGAGTATTTCCTGAAAAGAAAATTTGAACGCCAATGAAGAAATACGCGCCGGAACTGTGGCTAAAGGCAAATTAAACCATGTCAACAGCATTGAGAAAAATAAAATAGTAATAATAATAATAATAATGATAATTAAAAATT